CCCTTCACCCACAAAAAAAAAAAAAAAAAAAAAAAAAAAAAAAAAAAAAAAAAAAAAAAAAAAAAAAAAAAAAAAAAAAAAAGGAATTACAAAACTGTTCTGGTTACCAGTACTTTTATTGATTCATTTTATACATTTAAAATCTTAGATAAATCTTTAACTCATTTCAAATATATGTAACATCAAGATAAGCAGTTTACATTGATTTTTCTTTTCAAAACAGCTTGCCAATAATTTACTGGGCAATCTAACTTTTCCTAATTTTTTTGTTAAATATTATACTTCTCCACTCAGTATTATAAGGCTGCAAATTTCTTGCGTTACCCCTAGGTCTTCTGATTTTTATTCCTATAATATTCCCAAAATGGTTGTTCATGTTATATGGGATTTGGGCTTATATTGGCTATCTTGGTTTTGGTAGTTTTTCAGTTGATTCACAGATTTTCCATGAAATACAATAACTCTCTCTCCTCCAACACTTGTACTTCTTAAATTTATTTTTTAATGTAATTATATTGGCTAATGCTTCTGAAACAATGTTAAATCATGGCAGAGAGAGTGTATTTTCTTCATTTTGTTCCTAATTTTACTGCGAATGCTTCTGGTGTTTACTATATGATGACACCTATTTTTGGTCTGAGACACATTTATTATGTTATGAAGGCATTTAATCCTAATTTATTAGGTTTAATTAGAAATAGACTCCTTTAGCATTCTAATCCTTGTCACATCAATGTGACCTACTGTGTGCCTTTTCCCTTATACTCAATTATATAATAAATTGTAACATGAATATTAGGCCTATCAATACCAATCCTCTTTGTATTCCTGAAAGTAATCACATCTGACCATAATGTATTTTTGTTTTACTGTAGTCAACTCTCTTTTTCTAAAATTTTACTTAAACTTTTTGCAGCAATATTAGTAAGCTCTGTTTGAAGTTTTCTTTTGAGGGAATATCTGTTAACTAGTTTTAGCACTCCTGCTGGTTATCTTGGCTTTACAAGTAATCTGAATGTTGTTTAGTTTTTTTTGTCATGCTCTAAACAACTTAAAAAAATTAGAATCCTTGGTTTCTTACAGATGTGAAATAATACTTTAACATGTAACTTTTACTGGCACGTTTTACTAGAGGATACTTTTCACCATTTTTTTTATTATCATAGCCTAATTAGGTTTTTTCTTCTTCTTCGAGCCAATTTTATTTATTTACATTTTCCTTAAAAAAAAAAAATCAGGTTTTCCAATATTTAAAACATAGATATAGGCACATCTAAAATTTAAACACTGAGGGGCGCCTGGGTGGCTCAGTCAGTTGGGTGTCCGACTTCGGCTCAGGTCATGATCTCGCAGTTTGTGAGTTCGAGCCCTACATCGGGCTCTGTGCTGCCAGCTCAGAGCCTGGAGCCTGCTTCACATTCTGTGTTCCCCTCTCTCTCTGCCTCTCCCTTGCTCACTCTCTGTCTCTCAATGATAAATAAACGTTAAAAAAAATTTTTTAATTTAAACACTAAAAGTAAAATGATGAGAAAAAAACAAATCAGATACGCCAACAAAAACAAAAGGTAGAATTAGGAGCTTAAGCAAAACTGAATGCAAAGGGGAAGAGTATATACCTTGGTAGGCAGAGTTCATAATATAAAAGGGGTTATTAATACATTTCCTGAGTCTTTATATCCTAAAGAATATCCTTCATTTGTCCTTAAGCACAACTTGGCTACTTGGGAAATTCTTAGGTTATATTCTTTTTGTCCATGAAATCTCTCTAGTTGTTGAATCATTAACTTCAGAAATCTTAGGTGGTTGAAAGAAATAAGCGAGCCTCTTTATTTTTCCATTGTACATAACATACTTCCTTTTCTTTGCCCTTGATGTTTGTGAAATCACTTCTGTAATCCCTGAAAATTCAGTAAATTCCACCAGGATATTTTCCTAAAACAGGAGTCCTCTTGATATCCAGATTCAAGTAGCCAATCATTCTGAAAAAGTTTACTATTATTTTTTTTTATTATTATTTTCCATTTTCCATCACTCTGTTGTCTTCACCACAAAAACCACTTAGGGCTTTTCACTTTCTGCTATTAAAGAAATTTAACTGCCTTCATTTCTATGCCTACATTTCCACATTCTATGCAATCTCCTCAAGTTCCACTGCTAGCTTACCGATTACATTTTCAAAATTGCTTACTCTGCTCCTTGCTGCTTATACTAAATTATACTTTATAATGCAAGTATGTTCCTGTCTTCTTTACCATTGGTTCTGACACTTCCCTTTTTATATATTTGTTTTGTTTTCTTTTTTTCCAGGTATCATTTGCTGCTTAACTTTTTGGCAGTTTAGAATCACTTAAAATTTTCTTTTTTCCTAGAAAAATTCAATTCTTCCCAACAGTGATTATCAGCTTTCTTCTGAGTACTAAAATATGTGCATCGGTTTCATGTTTGTTAATTTATTTGTACTCTGTTAACTCACCTTTGAGCAACAGAAATTCTCTGGCTCTGCCATTTGAACAAAAAGGCAGGCAGCATCTCCCTGAAGACTGAACATCAGATGCCACTCTTAAAAAATTAACATCAAAGCTCCCAACTCCTTCATCAGCTGGCTAAGTAAGGAGCACGGAGAAGGGAGTGGGGACTAAAGGCAGCAAGTCTCTCATCTCCGTGGAATTTCTCTCCAAGTCTACTGAAACCTGCCAGTGACAAGAACTAGCTCCACCTGGACTATGGCTATATTCCATGCTATAAGGGGACTCTTAGTTTGGGGACAACTGCCTACTCTGGAGGTAAGTCAGACTCCTGACAGACAGGAATCAGAACAGAAACCATAGCAACCATCATTTTTGTTTAGTGGCTGAACACACAATCTTTTATGTGTCTCTAAAGTTGGTAATAAGACGTTTGCTTCAAAATTCTCCTCTAAGCTTTACTTCACCTCTAAGCTTTGCTCCTCCTGCTAAGGAAAATAGGTCAGTCCAAAGAAAAACGGTGTGACCACGAAGTCTCTCCTTTAGTTCTATGACAGCCGAAATTAGGCTCTCCTTATTTCTCTCAAAGCCTGCCCATACCTCAATCTCCTCCTTCTAAATTAACCAACGACAGAACACTTACTATCCATTCCCTTATATGCCTGATTCAGGAATATGGGTATCAACCATCAATGTTCTCACATTCAATTCGGTCTAAATAATCTAGGAGCAATTCTGTCCAATTCTACTTACGATTCATTTCTCTTGTGGTTCCTCTAAATTATTTTGGTGAATTCAAGGGAAGATGCTTTAATCAACACTCAGCTCTATCATTTTTCCTCAAAATCAACTCACCCAATTAATAATTTAAAACATAAAATCTGCATACATATTTTATCTCCTGGAAGACATATTATACTATGAGCTACTTCATCAAGAACAGTGTGTGCACACAGCAGGTATTCAATATCAGTTAATTCTCCTCATGAGAAACATGTGAAATATACTTAGCATATAAATCAAATAATCTTCAAGTTCCATATTAAAGCAGCATATGTTTTAAAATGACCTTTGCATGTTCTAAAATGTCTACCTTTCAACCTTGCTCTTATATAGTTCTCCCACAAATACATCAATGTTTAAGATATTAAAGACACTAGGAAAGATAGTCAAGAATGAAAATAAAAACCACTAGTGAATAAATCAAACTAAAACTTGCCCAAAACCCTAATTAAGAGAGGAACTGTGCCATTATGGATATGGTACCATAGGCATTCAGAGGCCTAAATTCAAATCTTCCCTCTGTACATTCTAGCTATATGATCTAAAACCATTTACCTCAAGTGACAAATTTCTCATTTGGAAGATCAGGATAATTCCTACACTTTACTGAACTGTTACAAGGTTTAAATGAGATAATACAATAAGTGGGCATTCAGTAAGTGATACAGCATTATATGTACTGTGTGTGTGCATGTGTTTTTCCCCAAACTCTGATCTCTGATCTGTGTTGGAGAATCAGAGCACCATTCCAAAGGAATATTCATGCTCTCCATCCTCTTAAAAATTAAGAAGTCAATTCTAAACAATAAAGTTTCTTACTCCTGCCAAAGAGGATGGGATTATAAAATTCTGGTTATGTTTCAATTACCATGTGAACTAGAATTAAGTTCACATGAACAAAGAATAACAAAAAGTGTACCTGGGATTTTAAGAGCTACCTTTGTCCATTTTCTCTCTGAGGAAATAGGCCACAGGTAATTCTTCAACATGAAGAAGCATGCTACCCCAACCACAACTAATTAGACCAGCAGCTAAGCCAGAAGTAACGAGGCAGATGTAAAGCGAACCACCAATGCCTAGGGCAAGATCAGGACCAACTGTCAGATACACCCTCCAGGAAGTGGGAGGAGAGATGCATACAGAGAAGTACGGGTCCATACAGAATGAAGACTCATCGTTTTGAGATATCACAGAATCTTGAATAATCAACCAGCATTAGAGATCCCAAGGATAACAGCACAATTTCCAATTCTTAGAAATACTGAAAACACACACAAAAGTACACTGCTATTAGGATGATTATTCCATGCTTCCCTACGTCAAATAAAGCAGTGCTTCTGAAAATTTTCAATTCAATACCTTTAATCACAGAGGATAGTGAAGAGTCCTATGCACAGTCCTGCTGAAATTTCTTTGAAATTTCCCACTAGACCTTAAATTCATGTGAATTGTTTATTCTATGCCATGTCAAGAGAATGTTTTACTAGAAAATTATTTTCATTAAAATATTTACGCAAAATAGATGCTTGAGAAAGAAATGCCATGTTTGCCCCACATTTTCATGAAATCATCCAAAATACCAACCAGTGCTATCCCCTCAGGAAATGAGAATCTAAACCGAATGATACCAACTTAATATAACTTAGACATGATTTCCTCAAAACTTACAAGATTCCAACTACTACATAAATCGAGAAACAGTAAATTATTTTTCTATTTTCCCGAGTATTTATCAGAATAAACTCAACTTACGATCTGATGTGTGGGAAATCCTCTTCAATTTTGCTTCCTGTGTTTTTAAAAATTTGGAGTGCAGCCTCTGCTACTTTTTCATCATCCATTTTCAGGCAAGCCAGGAGAGACTCAAATGTTTCAGCAGAATGAAATGAGATGGGATGTGTAAATGAGAGTACCTAAAAAAATGAGTCATAAAAATGGTCTGTAAACCCTTTTCATCTTTAAAATACAATTGGAAATACTCAAATCAAAGTAAATACAAAAATATTTATGCTAACAAGTATATGAGAACACAGTAAACTTTAAAACTTACTCAAATATGTAAAAGATATGTTCTTTAAATCACAGGATTTAAAGAAGTCCTTTCTTTCAAAATTAAATTACATGTTAATATAATTCTACTCAAAATAGTTTAGATTTTGGTTAATGTTTGACTTATTTATTTATTGAGAGACAGAGACAGAGAGAGAGAGAGAACAAGCAGAGGAGAAGCAGAAGAGACAAGGAGAGAGAGGGAGAGAAAGGATCCCAAGCAGGCCCTGTGCTGTCAGCACAGAGCCCAACATGGGTCCTCATGATCTCATGAGATCATGACCTGAGCCAAGATCAAGAGTCGGATGCTTAACCAACTGAGCCACCCAGGTGCCCCTGGTTTTTTTTTTTTTGGAGGAGAATTAGAGAAGAGGGACAAGAAGAGAGAATTTACCAAAATAGCTCATTTTTCTAAACAGAGGGGATTAAAAGAGACTAGCTAGTAACATTTTTGAAAAAAAGGTTATTCAGGGAAGGGGGTAAAACAGATAGTAAAAGGTATCATAACATTACAATTACCAAATCAACATGGTACTAATAGAAGAAACAAAACAGAAAACATAAAGCAATAAATAGTCCTAGCATATATAAGAACTTAGATTCTACAGAGACAACAGAGAACGAAAATGAATGGGATTTTTAATAAACAGTCCTGATAAAACTGCATAGCTATTGGGAGAAAATCCAATTAGATCTTTCCCTCCAATACACACTTTCAAAATAAATTTCAGATGTTTATATTTCAGATTAAAGAACAGAATAAAAATTTTCTGAACAAGACAGGATTTTCAAGCTTAAAATAAACAAGTAGAATCAAATGTGGAAAGTAAAATCAAGCAAGTCATAGAAAAATATATTAAGCATAATGCTGTGTTTGTAAGATACAGAAACAAGCAAAATAAGTGATGTTAGAGATACATGAATAGAGATGATAGAACTATAAAGACAGTATGAGAATGAATAATGAAAAATGACCTCAAATTCAGAACAATTATATCTGGGGGATGTGAATCAGGGAAAAAACTACTCAGGGAAATTCAACAGTATTTTTTATTTTTTAATGTTTATTTATTTTGAGAGTGTTTGTGTGTGCATGAGTGAGCGGGGAAGGGGTAGAGAGACAGGGAGAGACAGAATCCCAAGCAGGCTCTGTGCTGTCAGTGCAGAGCCCGCAGTGCAGAACCTGATGCGGGGCTTGATCCCACAAACCTGTGAGATCATGACCTGAGCTGAAATCAAGAGCTGGACACTTAACCAACTGAGCCACCCAGGTGCCCCTCAACAGAATTGTTAATACTCTATTTGAGTTAGCATCCTATTTACTTTTCACTGTATTCACTTCATTACCAGACCTTGTAACTTACATATAATAGATTACATTTTATTTTTTTATTTATAAAAAACTCCCATCAGTTTAAAAAGAACAAAAAATTGAGATGTCAGTAGAAAATGAACACAGGATAAAAAATAATGAATTCACCATAAGGAAAACACTAATGATTAACATATGGAAGTTATACCTCACTGCAATAATTACACAAATTAAAACATTATTTTTACTTATCAAATTAGCAAATCTCTTTAAAATTTACAATATTCCATGTTTGTGAAGATAAGTTAGGCACGTTCCTTCACTGCTGACGGAATTATATAGGAGTATGATTTTTCTGTGAAGGAATTCGACTAAATATATACACCAAAAATTTTTGAAACTGATCATTCTCTTTACATTTCAGGATTTTTTTTAAAAAAGGCATTTGCAAGAGATCTTAGACATATTTATCTTTGCAGTGATTATAAGAATAAAATTAGAAAAATCTAAATATCCAGAGAAACAGTTGGGAATACTATGACACCGCAAAAGTGAACTAATCACCATTTCAAAAAAAATAATGTTTCTTAATATGAGCCAGACACTGTGCTAAGAAACTTACGTACATGGTTTAATTTAGTGTTCTGTGAGATAAGTGCTATCATTATCTCCATTACAGATAAGGAAGCGGAGGCAATGAACTTACCCAAACGCATCCATCAAATAAATAACAGCCATAAATCAGATATGTTTTTTGGCACTCTTAAAAACACTATCTTAAAAACCACTGAAAAAATGCTTGTAATTTAATGAGGGAAAATAGTCAAGATATAAAACTATACACTCAGTCTAATCTCAACTATATAAAGTGTGCATTGTTTTCAAGATTAAAAGGGAAACAAAAGAAATGTTTATGTATGATAGGCTTATGAAAGTTTTCTTCTTTATAATTTTATACTTTCTAAGTTGTCAACAATTAACTGGTATTTTTGTAATAAGTACAAGGCAGTAGCTTATTTTAACTAACAAAATAAAAGGTAAAATGAAGTTTTAGGAAGAATTTGGCTCCATCTTTGCTTCCTGATGACAACTTCTAAGTATAATTCACTATTTTAGTGTAGTAATACTAGGCTATATTATACAATTTAAACCTTAAAATATTTAGCTTACATGTTAGAGGAAATGAGGCATTTCTACATGACCTAAAATGATTGAGAAAATTTTACTTCAGGTTCCATAAACTTAAGAAGCAAGTCTGAAGCACACAAAACATATACTATACATATTAGGCAGTCACCTGATTAGGCTCTTCATTTCACCAGATGCATACTTACCTTAAGCAGTTCAAGACCTGCCCTGATAGCCTGATCAGTTGGAACACCCTCGTCTTCATCATCTGCTGTTCCATCTATTGATTTGTTCACTTGCTTAATAAGAGCACTAAAGTATGAGGAAAAAAGACGGTCATATTTTCAAGTGGCCTTTAGTAGCAATGTCTAAGAAAAATAATCCTGAATATTTTCTATATAGACCATATCCAAACACATAAAAATCTGATATAGTTGTTTCCCAAACATTACTGCAAAACAAAAAAACTGTAATAGGTATTTTGAGGCACTTGTTTTCAAAACAGTATTTTCCCCGTCCATTCAAATGAAGTCCAAATGTTATCTGATTTGCGGTTTATTAACGCTGTCTGTATTTTTATTCTTGCATTTTCCATGGAAGATCTATGCCTAAACACATAAACAGATGTCTTCTAATTATCTAAAATTCATTATTGCTCCAGAAGTCCCACAATGTATATTGAAATAAAGGATAAACGGCAACATTAAGCACTTTCAAATATTACTTGCCAAAATATTGCCAAAAGCACTTGCCAAATATTACTATGTGTCAGTACTGTTGTTAAGAGCCAGAAACACACAGGCCTGTTCCTGAAAGGTGTAAAAATACCTAGATAATAGACCTATAATAAAACTTCATTAGAAATTAAAACAGATTAAAAAGGAAACAAAATGCTTTGAATTTTCTTCTAAAAACAAGTTTGCTATTTTTTTTTAATTTTTTTTAAACGTTTATTTATTATTGAGAGACAGTGAGAGATAGAGCATGAGCATGGGAGGGGCAGAGAGAGGAAGAGACACAGAATCGACGGGCTCAGATAGGCTGTCGCTGAGACTGACAGAGGGCTTAAACCCACAAACTGCGAGACCATGACCTGAGCCGAAGTTGGATGCTTAATCGACTGAGCCACCCAGGCCCCCCTAAAAACAAGTTTGTTATTTTAAAATAAACATTTATAATGCAATGTCAATTATCTAAAATAATCACTCACACTTTCAGGCATTCTTTTTTTTTTTTTTTTTTTTTTAAATTTTTTTTTTTTTCAACCTTTATTTATTTTGGGACAGAGAGAGACAGAGCATGAATGGGAGGGGCAGAGAGAGGAGAGCCACAGAATCGAGCAGGCTCCAGGCTCTGGGCCATCAGCCTTCAGAGCCCGGCAGCGGAACTCGAACTCACGGACCTTGAGACCTGGCCAGTCGGACAACAACACCGACTGCGCCACCCAGGCGCCCCAGGCATTCTTTTTAAAAAACCAAATAACATACACTAAGGGTAGAGACATAGTATGTATCAAAAGCAGGAAAATTCAACTATTCAATGTTCCTTAAAATGCTTAGTAGCTCTATATTTCTACAAAAATATTATGTACTCAAATTTAAGTTCAAGCTACGAGTCAAATTTATCTGTCCCCCTTCAGGGTCTCCTTAAAATTTATCACCTCTTAGTGGCTGATCTATTGATTAACTGTGTCTCACAGCTCCAACTATCCCGAATAAAACTATCTCAGGGGCCCCAAGGGTTTTTACCTAGACATCCCACAGGAATGAAAAATACCACCTATCCAAAATCAAATTCATTATTTTCTTCCATGATTAAGGGCATGAAGCTCTCAGTCTAGTGAAGGAAGGCCAAAAATAAGTAAACAAATACAGAGAAAATATAATCAGGGAACAACAAAGATTAGAAAGAAGGCAAAGACAAGAAGTGAAGTTCGTTACCCAGCATAGTCAGGAAAGGCATTTCTGAGCTAAGAACCAAAGAACAAGAGCCAGTCATATAAAAATCTGTGAGAAAAAGCATCAACCTCTTTGGAAATCCAAAGAGAATCAACTGAAAAACTATTAAAAAATACTGAGAGTTCAGTGACGTGACACTAACAAAACACAAAAAAATCAACAGTGCTTTTCTCTATCAGCCAAAGCCACCTATAAAATACAGACGGGGAAAATCTATTCACAACGACAAGTCAAAATACATAAAATAAAAAGTTATAAATGCACAGAATCTATGTGTAAACTCTAAAACTATATGAAGGGAGCACAGGGATTTGAATAAACCAAAACCAAAACAAGTCTTTTTATAAAACGGGAACACAATATTATACAAATGGCATTTTTCACTAAATCTACAAATGTATCAGGGCAACACAACTTGGTAAAGAAGATTCAACAGATTCATTCTATGGCTCAACTGGAAAAATCAATTAAGGTTTGGGAACAGCCAATTAATTTTAATGGGGGGAGGATGAAAGAACTTTCTCAACAAGATAAAAAGTATCATTAAAACTTCAGAAGACAAAGGAACCAAACTGAAAATTCATTAAGAATCCAAATCATACAAAAATTTATGCTATAATAAGGAAACATTGCAAATCAAAACTGGGAAAGGAAGAATCTTCCAATAAATGGAATTGATACAGCTAGCATTTAAAGGATGGATATCTATTTCCACATTATACTAAAGTGAATTCCAAGCCAATTAAAGATTTAAACAGAAAAAACATAACCACCTAATATGATACCAAAGGCAGAAAAATCATAAAGGAAACAAATGACAGATTTAATTATATATAATTTATACAAATTTGAAAGGCAACAGAACTAAGTTAATGGCCTTATTTTATAAAGGATTCTTACAACCAATAAGCAAAAGACAACTTCTCCAAGTCTCTCATAGAAAAGTATTTTAAAAAGCAAATAACCAAGAAATATATGGGGGAAAAAATGTTCAACTTTATTAGTGACTCATTGTTTTTAAAAAAGAAGATCATCATTCACCTGTAAAATGGCAAGGACTAAAAAGGTTAATAGCCACTCTAGCAGGAAGAGTTAGGTGAATTGGACACTCACTGACTACTGGTGGGGACTAAGAGTGGAATCTGAGACATATATAGTGTGATGGTTAACCAAGAGGGCTCTGGAACCAAACTTCCTGGGTTACAATGTCATTCGCCACTTCCTAGCAGTGGGGAAATTATTCAACATCTGTGTAACTCACTGTTCCTTATCTATAAATTGGAAATGATAACATTTCTTGTCTCATATGGTTAAGAAGTAAATGAGCAAAAGAGATAAACATTTAGAATCATCCAAGGCACTTTATAAGGACTAACTGCTACTACCTGTTACTGTTATTTATGCTTTGATATATTTTCTGTATCACTATGACCTATTGACAATAAAGTCAAAGACCTATTTTGATTCTCAGTCAGAATGTTCATGGTACACATTATTTGTGAAAACTTTCTCGCACTTATCTTTCAAAACACTACAAAAACCTGGTGTTCTTACATTCCTGTAATTTTTCTACTGTTAAACAAAATTCCAAGGTTCTGTCCATGATCTTTTTATCTTTTTACTTCTTTCTATACAACCTCTTGCCCAGGGAAAGAATCCATTATCACAGTTTCACATTAAGCTCAATTTTCCTTGATTTTTAAAGAACTTTTTGGTCATGTCCAAGTAAGAAGCACATGAGCTCCCTTAATTCTTTTCAAAGTTATTACTATGTGCTTCATTGGAACTTGAGTTCTTAGACTTGACTCCTCAACTTTATTCCCATCTCCAGTAAGATGACCCATTCTTTTAAAACCTTCCCCCAATATAATCTTTCCTTTCCATCCCACTACCAGCATCCAAAATTTATAACACTTTACAGTCTATCCCTTCTACTTCCTTCCTCCTACCCATCATTAATCATCCACTGTTCTCAACAGACTAAAGTAAAAGCTCTAAAGTTATACCTTAAATGCTTTCCACAATCTGATCCCAACTTCTTTTTTAGCATTATCTCATAATATTTCTATACCTTTCCACACTATAGTTTAAATGGATGGCAATCATTTCCTAAATATCTTTTTTTTTTTTTTTTCCTATCCAGCTAGCTTGGTTTATATTAACCTCAGTGCCTAGAATATTCTTTCTCCCACCTCCATAAAAACATAATCTTACACATTCTTCCTCTTAGGTCAAATACTACTCTCTTAGAGAAATCCTTGAGTCTTCTGAACACTGTCTGCATTAATTTTATGAAACTATAATATAATCTCTCAGCTAAAACTCTTTATTCTGTTACCAAACAGAGGGTTAATGAAAAACAAAAAGTATGGTTTGCTAGTATGTAACTAGCATTGCCTTGAGTATAGAAAGCATGAGATTATTTACTTAAATAAGGAGTTTCAGTCTGATTCAGTACTAATGTAGAGGGGTCTGATTTTTTTGTTTTAAAACCATAGAAACCCTTCTTCAAATGAAAACTGATGCAAGAGGAATCCAAAGTGACTACAGGGTATCCAAAGTGGTGTCTCCCTACTTTGCAGGGGATCACAGTCCAAAAGCTACACCTTCTACCCTCCCAAACAAACAAACAAAAAAAATCCCCCAAAAGGGTTCACTGAGTACAGGATAGTATTATTTAATGTAGATTGTAATATATCTCATTTACTGATGACCAGTAAATCAGAATGTAATGAATGTATGTATGCGTGTATGTGTGTGTATACACACACATATACACACACACACACACACACACACACACACACACACACACACATTCTATAAGTGCTTTCTTTTCTCAACCAGTTGAAACATTTTAGGAAAATGTTTAAAAAAAAACAAAACAAAACATTTTACCTAAGGGAATACAGTCATAAAAAGAAAAGTATTTTCCAAGATGTCACAGTTAGGTGATATATAAGCGGAAGTGAGTATTGTTTTAAAAATAACACTTTGCGTTCTCAAATATCTGTGAAAATGCGTCCTATACTGCTTTACAACATATTCACCTAATTTTCTTTTCCTGAGGGCATAATTAAAAGTTGTCTGCATTACTTATCCTATTCAAGCTACCTAAAAAGAGTAATTCCTGGTATACTGGTAACAGAAACTAGGCTTAAAATGACATTTTCTCATCTAAATGGAAGTAATATTTAACATTAAAATAAATAACAAGATAAATACACAGATATGTACAGATCAGTGTGTACACATACATTACACACACATATATATGAACAGACAGATGCACAGACATATATAGATTTGTATTCAGCCATTTTACATATACAAAAAATCTACACAGTTAAGTGCCTTGTGTACAGCAGGGACTCAAAAGCAACTGACTGAAGTATGAATGAATGAATAGTAACGAAAATTTAGTATTTTTATATACAAATACCTGATAGATTCAGTATCTATGTGCACAGGTGCTATCCTCTCCAAGAGAAACTTGATCATTTCCAGGAAAGGATTTGTAGGCTGTTTGGGGTTGCCCAGCTTCTTAGTTATTTCACGCTGTAAGGTAGATTTTTTTTTTTAAATATTACAAAAATTTGTTTAAATACATCACATTAAAATGTTTAGGACCTAAAGTAATTAAAATCATGCAATACTGGTATTGGAATAAGAAAATCAACAGGAATTGCATGAATTGAGCAAACAAAACTAAGAATTTTGCATATGAGAGAGGTAACATTTCAACTAACAGGAAAAAGATGGATTATTCAATATACTGTTTTGCAATAACTGAACAGACATACAGAATAGAGACAGATCCCTATCTCATACTCTATACCAAAAACATTCCAAAAAGATAGAACAAGTACAAAAGAATAAAACCAAGGGTCAGTGGAGATAAATACTTCAGAGAGTAATATAATCAAGGAAGCTTGTTAAAACTATAGATTCTTGGACCTCACTGAGGAGATTAGTCAATCTGGGGTGGAGACAAGAATCATCGTTTTCTCTTTATTAAAAACCTCTCGGAAGATGCACTGGCAACAGACTGAGAAATCCTTACATCAGTAAATATTTTCATTGACTTGCGATAGAATGGGATTTTGAAAGCAGGACACAAAAGGCAAAAACTTTAAAGAGTCTGCTGATAGACTTAGCTAGATAAAAATAAAACTATGGTATATAAAGAACATCAAAATCAAAATGGAAGGGTAGACTATAAATGACAGATAATTATTTGCAGCTTAATTAACATATATGATTAACAAATCAATAGGACAAAGATAAATGTCATTCCATAGGCAAAGATTAAAAACATACAATACACAAAAAAACATAAATGGCTAATATGCCCAAGGAGAAAAAAAATGGTCAAATGACCAGGAACCACGACTACAAATCCCACCAAAATAATTATGTTTTGAGTTTTGCTTCTTTCCAACAATGACAGAATCCAACACTGAATCTATCCTAAAGAAATAATCAAGGCTGTGTAAAATGGTTTAGCTATAAAGATATTAAAGTGTTCTTTAAACAAAAACTGGGGGAAAAAATCTCAATGTGTAACATAAGTGGATTGTTCAATTCAATGGTATGCTATGTTGCTATTAATGCTGTAAAAAACTAATAAAAATAAGTAAAATGCACAAAGCTGTACAGATAATATCTTATTTTGGAAGATAGATCCTACAGTATCAACAGCAATTGTCTCTACACGGGGGTTACAGTTTATCTGTATTGTCATTTCTGTGATATTTTCTAAATTTTACCCAACAAATATAAATTATTTTATAAAAAGGGTCAAAAAAAGATGTGAGGGTTTCTTGAAACATTAGCTCTTCTAATCGTCTTCCCTTACCACACAGCCTTCAGCCTGCTTGCAGGAGCATGTTGGACTAACAAGTACTTCCAGCTGTTTTCTTATTTTCTCATCATCTTCCAACACCTGTGTGAACTTCTTCATGAAATCCTGAGCCTTACCAGGATCTGGCAAATTTCCTTCAATCAATTAAAATCCAATTAAAATGCTATTTCAGAAATTTCTCAAAATAACAGAAGATCAACATTCTTCATTCTTATTACTTTAATAATCCTAATTTACAAATTCTGTTTAGTTTAATTAGAAATTGTGGATCAACCTCAGTAGTCAATTTTCCCTAAATTCTGCTTTCTAGAAATAGGAAACAAGAACACTATGAAGAAACATCTTGGTAGGGAAAGACTGAACTGACTCTAAATACCCCTTATAATATTTAAGGGCATTAAATGTCCACCTGAAGATACCAATTTATTACTGTCTCGAGTTTGTTGTGTATACTGTTCTCTTGTAACTCACAGAAAGAGATCAGTAAGTTTCACCTTTAAGAAACTATTCTCCTATACTGAGTTACTGTTAAAACCAACCGGTTCATATACACATGGCTATCTGTCAATGACACACGCTGAGTAACAGTTTCAAGTATTGCTGCTGGATGTTATGATTGCATGAGAAAGGATGAGTCCTCATAGAATCAAAGATGATTTTTATACTACTCTCCTAACTTTTCCATGTATTAAAACACTTATGAAAGCTAGTAAAATGCTAATCCTAGTGTCTATTTTTTTTTTTAATTATTCACAAATGTTACAGAGAACCAGACTAGGATACTTCTAATAACAGAAATTATAATACAGAACCACAGACTGTAATAAAAGTTGTAGATATTCAACTAAATCTTAAAACATGAATGCAGTCTTTAAGTTCATATACAACTTTGAAATTCCATTTCAAGTCTTGGCTAGATCAATGAGGATCTATTAATCTTGACTATCTGACTATTAATACTTTTATATTATTAATTAATTATTAATACTTGACTATCTGACTTTTTCATGTTTCTATAATACAAAAAAAATCTACTGTAGTGTCTTCAAATATTTTGGACAATATAACTTTACAGCCCCTCCATAATGTGTAAGTATCGTATTAAAGGCTACAATAAAATCTACCATTTAAGAAACAAAAAGAATGAGAATGAGGTAAGAGGGAAATGGGAAATGGGGGAGGGGGAGACAGAGCTAGAAAAGAGGGAGGAAACAAAAAACCTGTATTTCAACATTCTACAAACATACTTGACCATGGAACCCTTTTTTCTAACAGTACTATTAACACCTTCAAGATACCACCATTCCTCAGAACAGAATTTGGGAAAACAGGGGTAAAATATAGAAAAAATATAGGAGATATCTCCTTTTAAGAGACAGCGCCACAGCCAAACTACTGAGGAAATAGTTATTAAAAACCAATACCAGAAAATCACTTGCTTTAAGGTTATCCAAAGAGACTGAAAACTAATTTATGTTTAACTGCCCAAAACTAGAAGATACTTTGGTCTTAAACCCGTACTCATGCCAAAAATCCTATCACTTAGTCTAAAATTCAGTTAATTAGGTTACTGTTCTCTTCAGAACCTGAGCATTACTTCCATACACAGCTTGAAATATTTGTTAACATCTCAGAAATCCATCTAAGATAAATCTGTTCACTACTACCAAGTGGAAACTCAGCAGAAGCATTACCTGATTTTCCGTCTGTCCGTGTGCTATGCTACACAGTGATCTCTGAGGTGGGTGGAAAAGCAACTGCCACACAAAAACAGCTACACTGCCCTATCCTTGCACTGAACAAAGGAGATGTGCCACACAATCCTTTTGTATTTACTGTCAAGTGCAATACCATTTTATTTGAAATCACTGAAAGCAAAAGAGCAAATCAGTACTTTTTTTCCCCCCAAAGAAGTTCTTTTGTGGTTATTAGGTATACCCTTTCCTCTAAATTTTGGCTCAGAATGAAATTAGCTTCAGACAGATTCACATTAAAGCAAGCAACACCAAGGAAAAGATTCAGTTTTCACAGCAAGGTTATGCAATAATTTGAATGAATTCCCCAAAATATATTTATATAATAAATCCTTTCTCCAGCATTTGTTCATTCCAACACACAAAAGAAAAAGAAAAATTCTGCGTAGCAAAATAAATGAGAATCAGAGAACAAGAAAAGCTGAAGCTGAGTTGTCTGTTAAACAACAATGAAAAACACTTGACTCTTTTCCTGTATTATCAGAGCCTAAAGTGGAACTCCATGAAAACAAATTATCAAAAACAAATATTTCAATTAAACCTTCAATTTTACATATAATATCTGAAATAACTTACTTGTAATAACCATCACTTTTGAAAATATGGCCTTGACACTGGCATCTGTCTGTAAATCACACAAAAAACGCAAAATTAGTATTTCCTAATAATCTTCATCATACCCTTCAGAAAATTAGAGAATAACCTACTAATGTTCCAGGCCCACACCCTGACCACCACCACTGTGAGCTCCTTCTTGAACTAGGTTCAAACTCCACAAAGTGGATGAAAGTGGAAGTGAATGCTCTGTTGTCACCATCTCTTCCCTCACCCTGTTTGGTCAGCCTCCAAACAAACAAACAAACAAACAAACAACTGTTGTACCAACCTTTAGAAACAGGGAGAGATTTTGCTTTCTTTAGTAGTGAAAGAACAGGGCAACTTAGATTAGAAAAGGAATAAAATAACCTGGTTTTCAAGTTTTTAAGCTTATCTCAAACAAAAAGTTGATAAGGATATAATGCCGGTTGACTTAAGGCCTTCCTAAAATTTTTAAGCCAGAGGATTGTAAGGCATAGTCATGCAGCTTATGGGGAAGAACTAGATATAGACCATTACAAAAACGCCACTGACATGTACAAAAGATTCTTCCAAGAGTGCTGTTTATTTGCTGTATGAACATTATTTCAGTAAATCAACGTGTCACCATATTGTGCTTCATGTAATACAGTCTGTAAAGTCGTATGTGTAAAAAATGTTTCTAAAGGTGCTAGTTATTCAATGCATCAAGTTAGTGTTGTTTTTTTTTAAAGGTGTCATTCAGCAACTCTGTATAATATACTGAACCAGAAAAATACTGGAGTGAAGGCAAAAAATAAAATAAAAAAATCATCCCTAGTTAGAAGGAGCTTGCTAAGAGAAAGTAAGATACAAAACACAGAATTCAAGAGTTAATTCCCAAATATTTGGAATTTAAAGTATTTGAATAAATCTGTCCAGAATCAAAAGATTCTATTGTTTAATTTGGAGGAAGCAGGTGTTGCTGGGCTTTCAAGAAGTCGATCCACATGAAAAGGAAAGAGTATCAACAAAAGTACAACACTAGAAATTATGTCCCTTTGTGTGACACTGAGCAAATCTAAATTTAGTCAAATAGAGAAGAAGGGCTATACTGCTGAACTAAATAGGAATAAAAACTACCTTTATCAGACTGAATAAGGAAAAATGCAAAAAAACATACTGATTACTAAGAGTCTTCCTAGTAAAAGAGGAATATAAACACCCAAAAATTAAATATAGCTTTGAATTTTTTCTACCCTTAACTCTATAATGTCTACTATAATTCTCAGTATAAAGTGAGGTACTATCTTCCATTTGGTTTCTTCTTCAACCCGACACATTAATGAGAATTTCCTCTTTAACCTGGATAACTCAGTAATTATTTTAAGACAAGTTAAAGGAAAATTCCACTAGGTAGAAGACATTAAAACATTTTAACTGAATTGAGACTATATTTTGTTATTTCACATGAGAATGAAATTATAAGACCCTCCCAACTTGTTATCAACCGGCAAGGGAAAAGAAGGTCCCACTAAATAAATTTTAAAAGGACAGTGAAAGTCAAGAACAAAGTTATTTTTTTTTATTAGTCTCATACATCATGCTGTTCAACATATGACCTGCACACTTAATATACTACTTGGCTATTATGACTTCAATAATGCCTAAAATCAGGAATAATTTTATTTACATGCACATGAAAACATCTCATATTTTTGGTTAACCATGCAACTTTGACCAAAAGGAAGTAAATTAATACAGCTCTAAACAGCAAATAGGAGAACATTATCCAGAGCTTATTAACTAAAATACACTAACTTATCGCATTAGAACATTAACTGAAACACATGTTTACTGGCTGAAGCATACTAACTTAAATGGAATTTTCCAATTTTGCTAGTTGGCAGAGAAAGTACTGAAATAGCAGAATCACACTAATATTAGTTTTAAGTCATTTATAATAAGAAAAAAGTAATTCTAGCAGGTTCAATATACTCAATAATCAAAGAGATTATGTTATGTTCAATAAACCAGAAGCAAAGAGATTACTGTTAGCCCTAACATGAAACAACTCCTCTCTATTGACCTCTGTTCTATGACCACGCAGTATATGTTTTGTTTTGTGGAAGTTTTTGGGGGGGGGATGGTGGTGAGGCATTCCACTATAGACTGAAAGGAAATAAAACATAACAGCATATTGTCACTTATGTGTGTCATTTAAAATGACGTACTGCTTTTTCAATGAATTATACCTTTTACAGGCCTATATACAACATTCTCAAAAAATATTCAAGGGGGGAAAAAACTAGAATCACTGTAAAATTTCAAAAAATAAAATACATCAACTGAGTGAATACCACAATTATAATTATGAAAATCAAGCAGTACATTAAAACTACCGTGATATTTTAAGTAAAAATATAAAGATACTTAACTAAAATTGTATGATACTAAAATTTTCTAAAACCACAAGACTATTCAAAGATGATGGGAACATTTTAGTGTGGCAAGACAGAGTGCAGTTTTACTCTATTTTCTATGTTTTCAATGACAGTTATTTTTTTTTTTTTTTAACTATAAAAGAACTTTAATTCTGAGTACAAAGAAGTACATTCTCTTTCCTGTTAGGTGTCATCTTTTACAAATATAGTAAATGTAAATTTTAAATGTTTTACGCAATCAATTTCTTAAAAATTTCTGTGTTCTGGGGCACCTGGGTGGCTCAAGTGATGATCTCACAGTGGTGAAATCAAGCCCCACATCAGACATTGTGCTGGGGCTTTGCACTGGGCATGGAGCCTGCTTAAGAGTCTCTCTCCCCCCCTTCCCTCTGCCCCTCCCCTGCTCATGAAATTTCACTCTCTCAAAAACAAATAAAAATAAAAATAAATTTTTTTTTCAGTGTTCTAAATTAGAGATCATAGCTTCTCGAGTAGAATGGTTCCATATAGAAATAGGTATTTCAACACACTGTAGCAATGGTGAAGAATAACTAAAATACAGGTATTTTACAAAACTTGTCAAAGAAAAACTTTTCGTTAAATCTAACTTACTTTGGGTTGCTTAATTAAGTCAAGCAAATCCTTTACTTGATGTCGGAGCAGATTTTGACATTTCCACATCTCATTCAATGCTCTGAAAAACACAAACACATCAATTTAAATAACAAAACAGAATAAAAATCCTACTGGAATATTCCAAATATATTGCTTTTCAAGTTCAAATATTAACAAAAAAATGAGAGACGAGGTAAATTTTACAGGACTAAGCAACTGATGATGTATGGGGAGAAAGAAGAGTCCTACATAAAAGACACGAACATTGGAAGCAATATTTGTATTAAAAGAAAATGGTTGTTTTTTGGTTTGTACAAAAATAGGGAAGAACTATTATTAACTACAACATGTCTGTAAACTAGGGTAGAAGAATTACCTACTGAGATTATAACCTTTAGAAATAAAGGAATGCGTGATGGAGTAAGGTCCTACAGTAGGCAGGATAAAAAGGAATCAAAGAAAAGAGTGAATACTAAGAGAACGAGGGATACTTTTTCCTACAACAGAAATATTTACAATGTTACTTTATAGATTACGTTTATGTATTATATAAAATATATATTATATACCTATATATAAGTAAACAGTCATTAAATAAGATTAAAATATGTAACCAAACTGATGTAAATTAAAAAATGACAATTTCTCACTTGTTTTATTTAATCCTCAAATTCTCACAGTTTAGAGGTACAATTTATGTGTTTAGATTTTTAAGGACTCACTGAGGTTTACAGTCTGAATGAAGTATACAGAGTTAATTAAATAACATGTTTATATAAATTATATAAACCAGGTATTTATGTTATATACAACTATAACATATTCCATATATTATAAGTAAAAATATGTATACTATATAATTTCATGTACATGTATTTACATGTTATATATAAATGTTTGTTACATAAATATGTATTATTACATACATACATGTATTTACATATTATTTGAATACTATTTTTATACGGCAAAATTTTTGATGTCCTCTTAATACTTTTATTGTTTTCAGGCAGAAACTTAAATCTAAAATGAAACTATACACATACTCAAGAAAATACACATAAATCCTAAGAGAACAGCTAATGTTATTGAAATATTACGTTACAGAATTCAAAACCACATATATTTTAATATATGAAAAGAGAATTTTCCAAAACCAAATACTTTCCATTATTTTGTTTCCAATTTTCTATAGATCTATTACCCTCCAGTATCATTCATATGAAGCATTGCCATAAAAAGAAATACAGTACAGAAGCATATAAAACCACCCTTTCTCTTTTGACAGACGATTGTTAAAAATTTTCATTCTCCTCCTTAACACTATGTTTTAAGAATACCTTTGGATACCTTTATGGAAGTAAAATAGTTTAAATGTGGACACTTAAATTCCTTTACAGTCATCACCTCAAAATGGTACTGGCAAACCAACAGTACTGGGGACATTGTATCTTAGAAGTTAAATTTAAAATAACTATACTATTTTCAAGTTATTAAATTTCAATTAAAAGTTTAATCGGCATGTTTTAAGAATGTAAATATGAAATCAAAAATGACCAGTATACAGAGGGCTGTAAAAGTCTAACAGCTAAGAGTTAATTTTCAAAGAAACAGAGCAGTCATCTGTGAAATTATTCCTGAACTCCAAAGTCAATGAATGGTCTCTCACTTGCTAACACTAATATTATTACTTACAACTTCTGACAGGCCTAGATTTTGTAACCTGTCTTCACTTAAACTAAAACAGAAACTATTTTACCTATTATAGTTATTTGTTACTTTAAATATGAAATCTCACGTAATTCTAAATCTCCTTCTAAACTATTACGGCTATAGCTTAAATCAAAAAGTGACCACCACTAAGAATTTATATTGTAATATATTTTTAGGGAAACCATCCTCTGAAGTACTTTAATAAAATTATCTTAAGCAGCAAAGACAAATTTATGCTTGTGTTTGCCCTTCTCAACAGTCCTTAAAAAGAAAAAAAAAATAGTAGAAACATTATTATAAAGACTCGTATCATTTCATATGAGCCTGAATTCCAGCTCTGTCACTACATAAATGTGAAAAATTTGCTTAAAGCATAGATACTCTTATAATTGTCATCTGTCGAGTCCCCTCACTAGGGTTTTGCACTAACTCGAAGAAAAAGACAGCCACCATTGGGTTGCAGTCAGAAACCTGTGCAAATATTGAAGAGAACCTCCCTTCCAACATTCTGCTCCCAGTTGGCAAATTACCCACCAGATGAAGCCGTACAAAAACGGGTCGAGAGGAGAGCCAACCTAACCAAAGAGATCACAACCAGGACACCTGAAACTACCACTAACTTTTGTTATTAACAGTTGTTCTAGGAAACTTGGGGGAGGTGGCAACACACACCAGGATTAGAGAGCACTCAAGCCTCCCTCTGTTCTCTTTTTCATTAGTGAAGATACTTAGTTAACTTAGGGGCTTACCCAAAACTGATATACATCAAAAATTTAAAACATATTAAGTACTTTGTCTTCCCCAGAAGAACATGATCATAGAAAAAAATATAGGCTCTTTCAGCAAATGATTATTACTGTTCAGGAAAATGAAAAAAAAAAAAAAGATAAAATTTGAGACTCAAAAGATTTGCAAAAAATAAGATGGCTAATAGTGTTTAGGAAGATGCAAAAAATTACAAGCCACTGATGGGAATACAAATTAGCATAATCATATTGGAAAATAATCTGACACCAGTTTACAATACTGAAAATGTGTATACTCATCAATTCTACTCCTAGCTATACATCAGTGATTCCAAACCTTGGTTGCCCATTAAAATCAACAGAAACACTTTTCTGAAAACCCCAATGCCCAGACTACACTTCAAATTAAATGACCATCTCTGAAGGTGAGATTTAGGTGTCCGTATTGTTTAAACCTTCTTCAAGTAATTCCAACAGGTAGCCAAATCTGAGAACCATTTATAACCATACCTTAGAGAAACCTACGCATGTGTATTCTCAATTCAAAACTGTTCATAATGGTACTATCTGCATTAGTAAAAAAAAAAAAAAAAAATGGAAAGACAAATGTCCATTCTTTCTATGGACTCAAATTTCCAATGACAAGGTAACAGAATAAAATTATGACATCATGACATAATGTAATTCAATACCACAGTGAAATTGAATGACCAACAAGCTATACATATTTTGGATGAATCTTAGGAACACAATAAAATGGGGGGGGGGGTTAGTTAGAGAAGACTATATCCACAATTGTTCCACTTTTGTAAAGTTCAAAAACAAGCAAAAATAAGTAATATTATTAAGGGATAGACATACATACATATATATAGACACATATAGATATATATACATATATACAGACATATAGAGACATAGAGACATACATAGAGAGACATATATAGAGACATAAGGAGACATATATAGAGACATACAGAGACAGAGACATATATATAGACATACAGAGAGAGACATATGTGTGTAAGACATATACGTATAAGACTATTTTTTAAAAGGAAATGAAAAATACATAATTAAGGCTAGTAGTACCCTTAGGTGAAAGACAGGAGGACGAAAAAGAGAAGAGTTCACAAGATGGATGTGGATTCACAGATATATTTATTACTATGTTTTGAAACTCATATGCAATTTCTTGGTGTGCATTAAATATTTCATAACAATAAATGTAACGACTTTTGGACAAATCACAAATGTAAAGTAGAAGTTACAAAATGTTAAGTATTTGATTTACAGTTAGTTAATTCCAAAATGTTGGTTAAAATAAAAAATTATGTTAAAAGTATTGTAAAGGCACCTGGATGGCTCAGTCGGCTAAGTGTCCATCTCTTGGTTTCAACTCAGGTCATGATCTCATGAGTCATGGGTTTAAGCCCCCCTGTTGGGCTCTGCACTAACAGTATGGAGCCTGCTTGGGATTCTCTCTCTCTTCCTCCCTCTGTCTGCACCTACCCTGCTCGCAGTCTTTAAAATAAACTTTTTTTAAAAAATAAAAATATTACAAATATCTGTTTTAAGTTAAAATACTTAACTATTCACTCACCATTTTTGTAGAATCAATTGGTCCACACACTGGAATTTACTTTAGACTTTGCCATGGCATTATTTTTCAGTGTATCTTTTATGATTGGCAGTTTTACTTTTTAAAAAAAAAATGTTTATTTTTGAGAGAAAGTGAGTGAGAATGTGTGCAAGACAGCAACCGGGGGAGGGGCAGAGAAAGGGAGGCAGAGGATACAAAGTGGGCTCCATCGACCACTGATAGCACAGAACCTGATGCTGGGCTCGAAATCACAAACCTTGAGATCCACCCAGGTGCTCCAGCATTTTTACTTTTTAATTCAACCAACCATTGTTGTTATTTAAGTGACAAATAATATTGGATACATATAGCTTTATAACTGCTATTTAGTGTTTTCTATTTACAATTATTTTTCTTAATTTTTTACATTTCTCATATTAAAGTTTTCACTAGTTCCGTCTTGCTCCTTCTGGGTTTGGAAGCCATACGTTCTAATTCTATTCTTTTAGGGCAACTCAAATTTTTAATTCGCACACTTAATTCACAGCTTAATTAATCAACATGTCTGTCCTCCTTCTTCTGTGATAAAAGAACTGTAGAACATTTTATCTACCATCCTACATGCTGTTATCAGATAGTGTCCACCTAGTATTCAAAATTTTTTACAAACGCACAGGACCAACCAATCAGAACAGCAGGCAGTCCTTCTGCTGTGCCCAGGCACAGCGGAGAGTCAGGCGGAGGGAGGATCCCGGGGACTCTAGAGAGAGCTGACATGCTGTTCAAGAAGTGTGTGCTGGCTAAATATCAGCCTAGATGCTAACTTACTTTTTAAAGTTTTTTTTGTTTTTTTCTTTTAATGTTTACCTTTTTTTGAGAGACAGTGCAAGCAGGGGAGAGGCAGAGACAGAGGGGGACAGAGGATCTGAAGCAGGCTCTGTGCTGACAGCAGAGAGCCCAATGCGGGGCTCAAACTCAGGAACCACGAGGTCACGATGTGAGCTGAAGCTGGACACTTAACCGACTAAGCAACAAAGACACCCTGATGCCAACTTACTCTTTAATCTACACCTCCTTCCCTTGTCAAGAAAACTTTGTTATTATTATTATGACTAATTTATAGGCATTATTTAGATCGGCACAAGTGTTTGAAAATTTTGTTACTTCTTACATCCTAATCCTTCCTTCTAGATTTAATGTCCTTTTTACCAAAAGAAATTATTATTCTCTAGTAATTTCATGTTGGATCTATGAGTGGAGAACTCTCATTTTTTGTTTGAAAGTGTTTTCATTTTTACTCATGAATGACAGGTGAGCTGAGTCAAGAAGTCCAGACTGTGATTTCCATAGGTTGTTTCAAATAGGATATAAGATACATATCTTATGTCATTCATTCATTCAAAGAAACCTTCAATTGCACCATGAAGAAGAGGATAAACTCTGAGTCTAAAAATGTTAGCATATGACAATTTTAGGTTTCAAAATCAACAAAATATGGTAGTAAATATTTGACTGTATGCAGTGGAAAAAGAATGAACTTTGGAACCAGGCAGAACAGAGTTCAAATCCTGACTTTGTCTCTTACCACTTGTGTGATTTTGTGCAAGTTAACTGACCTCTCTGGGATTCAGTTCCTCATGTGAAAAACAGGAAAAATATCATTTACATGAGGTGCTAGCAAGCTTTTCTACAGAAGGCCAGATAATAAATATTTTATTTAATATTTAAGCTTTGTGGGCCAATCTATGTTGAAACTACTCAATTCTGCTGTTAATAGCACAAAAACAGCCACTGATAATACTCTTCTGCCTGAAATACAGGAGGTAGTAAGAAATTAAATTTCCCTCGTCTACAACCTTTTCCTCAACATTTCTATGAAAGATATAAATAGCACATATAATAATTTCCATGGAGGAAATGAAGTCAAAAGCCCCATTAAGCAGAGGTAAAAGTGAAAATTCATACAGCTCCTTAGACTTCCAATTTCTAAACATTTAATCCCCTATACTTGTAACTACATTTGCTGGAATGCAAAAGATCTACATTTTCTAAAGCCTCAAGCAAATCAATCTCAAGGCCTCAATTTCCTAACCCTCAGTGTGATTCAATTAGCAATGTCTCTTCCATGTCCAAAATTTCAACTCCCTACAAAGGCACTCCAAAGTATTTTCTGAATGAAAAAGGTCATAAAAATGTATTTGTGCTTACCCATATGCCAAACTATAACACTATGTTGAGGCTATGCAGCACAAAAATATGTTCCCTACTGCCCCACTACAAAATTCAAATTAGTATCAGGTCAAAATAAGGTGGTAGGATTTTCTCAGTATGGACCTTCTTAATGTCTTAAGGAAAAAAATAAAAAAGGTACATCCATCCTTCTTGAAACAACAATATAAATGTCTGAGCGGGGGGTGGGGGGTGTGAGGGGGGTGGTGGGAATCAAATCCTGAAAGATTCCATGCCAGTCAGCTCTATTTTTAAATTGCTTACAAAAATCCTTGTTAATCTCATATTGACAGCAGTACCTTCTGAAAAGAGAACCAAATATTTTATTGTGTCTGACTAATTAAACAGTATTTTTATTACATAAATTGTTAACATTTAAAAATACAGTTGCGATTTTTTTCCCCCATAAAATACATTGCAAAAGAGGATAAGAACAAAATTTGACATTTGAAACATACTTCACAGCATTTAAATCCAGTGTGGCATATAAGTAATATAAGCATTTCATCCGTTCTGTAGTTTCCAAATTGTGGGGAACCATGTATTGAGCAAAGATCCGTTCAACAAGCAATCTACAAAAACAAAGAGAAGGTACTGTAATGACTTTTCTTAATGTATTGAATTTGTATATAAAATTCCAAAACATATAAAGAGTATGTGTAAAAGAAGTTTCTGCTTTCAAAATGAAGATGAGATTTCCAAATCAAAGATTTCCTTCTGTAAGAAGAGGGGCCAAAAAACGATTTAGCAGGATGTGCTAGCAACATCCCTATACCCAGCTAAGGTAACTACCTCTGCATGACAGTGAATGTGTAGCAGGGATTCAATTTCCTTATCTGAATAATAAAACGTTAAAAAAAAACCACACCATGTCCTTCCAAGTGGCAAATTCTAAGCACCTCTAAGTTAAAATTATAGAGAAATTGTTAAGATTCTTCTGAGTTTTTGTAGTAATCATCATGAAAAAAATACCTGGTTAAAAGTACAAAAAAAAAGAACCAGCAACTCATAATAATGCAAATCTCCAGACAATGGTGCTGCACACTCAAAACGTCTAAAAACTTCAACTTTATAAAAGTAATAACTACGAAGTTTCTTTGATAATGTTAACATAAGACACCCAGTTTCTAGTTCCTATAACTCATAAAATTGTAAGATGGCCCACTGGTTCTTATTTTTCTCATTCTGATCTGTTATAGGCACTACCATCTGGATCTAGCAATTTAAAATAAATTCAATCAAGTGAAATCAATTCAGACTGCAAGCAGGAATCACAGATCTATTAACTACTAAATGCTTAGGATCCAAACAAGATCTAACTTTATGCTGCAATAGAAAAATACAAAGATTATATTCGGATAATGTGTTTCATATTAAATTATAACTTGTCTTTTTAGGCTTGAGTACAAACTTTTTATTCAAACTATCTATAATCCAAAGGGTTTATTTTCATTTATTTGAAAAAAATGTTATTTGAAAAATTACTTATGAAATAAAATTTAAGTTACACACATTTCTACTTTTAAGTATTACTCTTCAAAAACAGTATACAAAAATGAACATAAAAGCTGTATCCATCCCTAAAGTCATATGTACCTTACTGCTTCATTTATGGCTTTGGTGGGAGGAAAACTAGTCACTACCTTTAATTTGCAGTAAAAACTGAGAAGAGAGTTTCAAGTTATAAAGAAAACAGTTTGCCTAAAACAGCATTTCAACAACAGTTAAATACAACACAAACACCAGATATTTTACCCAGTGTCGTTAACTTACCGATCATCAATACTATTTTGATAATATATATGTAGCAGTTTGTCTTTGATCCATGAAATCTGTTTTGCAGCATCTTTTCCAGCTGCTGATTGTAAAGCATACTTCTTATAAATTTGGGCAAGTCCCATCATGGCTTCTTTGCGTACCCTCCACTTAAAGTAAAAACAAAAATGTTTTCTTATAATTTAAAAATGCTCCCATTATACTTCAGGAAAGTCTGTTTTCTTATTTTTAAGTTAGTTACTTTACACAATACATTTTCATCAATCCTCAGATACTGGATATCGATTTATAATGACTATGAAAAAAACACAACTATCATTTTAATATATCTACTATGAAAAGTACAGAGATATCAACATGTATAAAGAATTTTAATGTTTTAATATCTTAAACCCATTGCCTACACCTAAAAAATAAAAGTTAATCACAATCTACATAAAGTCACTTACAATTGGTGAGAGAAAACGTGTTACCAAATTTTAAAAGGCAAAGACTGAATTAATTGTGACCTATCCCTTATACACTTTTTCCAGTTTATGGTATATATTAATCATACTTCAATTAAAGGTACATGATGCTGGTTTTATCAAATGCTAAATATGAAGCCACTTGGTTCATTTTGTGTATTTGAGAATCAAGTTCAGGTGTAAAAGGAATGTATTCAACTATTTTTTTAAGTATTTATTTGCTATAGTATATCTAATACTGCTTATCTTGGAATGAGTTTATCCTTTAATTTTACACAAACACAGCACTACAATCAGGATGTCAGTAATGTTTAGAACTTCATGAAACTGCACAGATCATCCATTTTTTTCTCCTTTGCAGCCTGTCATTCATAGTGATATTCTTCCCTTGGTTTATCTCATCCATCCACCAATATACATCAAAAGACTTACTCATAAAGTGGGAATTCAATTCATCTGTAGAAACTTCCTAATTCTCTATCTTAACTCTAATGCCCCAAACTGCTGCTTTAAGGAGAATTTAAAAGACAGAGTATATTCTAATACTACCAAGAACATAAATATATTCAATTACTTTTTGGTATCCAATTAATATTTATATGACTGAACCAAGTAGCCCTACGATGAATACAACATGATTATCAAAAATTATGTGCATATATGTGATCCCAACAACACATAGACACTTAGTTTAAATTCCAAGTCTAACTAAGAGAAAGACTACTTGAATACTTAGAAGGCAGTTAGCCTACCATGATGCAAATCTCCTTTTCCTTCTTTACACCTTTTGGCCTTTTCATTAATACCCCTATGAAATATTCAATAAAGAAAAGTCTAAATTTATTAGTTAAAATAAGTTGTTCCAAATATCTATAGATTTGGAGGGAAAACCATGCAATTCCTGACCATCTGTACTTCACCCACAACCAGCATTATCAAAGTGAGCATTATTAAGTGAAGATGGCAAAATCAACCGTATCAGCGACTATTAAAATGATGTAAAGTATTTACCTAAAGAAGCCAATGATTGCTGAGTGGAGCTAGTAGGTGTTCACTCAAGAAGAAAGGGTTTAGGATCACAGAAGATAAGCTAGAAGCATGCTGCTCTACTAGGTATAGCTTTACCAAGTTGAAAACGTGTTATTTTCTATTCCACAGAAATTATAATACCACCAGCTAAAGAACTATTAACTGATACCGATAGGAAAGGAAAAAGAAAAGAGAGCCAACAATATTAAGAAAGCTGTGTCAGTTATTTTTTTTTTTTTCAACGTTTATTTATTTTTGGGACAGAGAGAGACAGAGCATGAACGGGCGAGGGGCAGAGAGAGAGGGAGACACAGAATCGGAAATAGGCTCCAGGCTCTGAGCCATCAGCCCAGAGCCCGACGCGGGGCTCGAACTCACGGACCGTGAGATCGTGACCTGGTTGAAGTCGGACGCTTAACCGACTGCGCCACCCAGGCGCCCCGCTGTGTCAGTTATTAAGGCCCTTTACAAGTCACTGATTAAAACTAGTGTCCAGGCTAAACACCTGACTACCATTTAGAGCCATCTCACTTTTAGGATGAGAATAAATAATCTCAAATTAAAAAACTAACAAAATTTAATGTAACAAAAAATAAAACCTCAAATATTAAAATGACCCCCTCAAAAGGGTTAATTAATTACATTTAAATCTCTGTATTTTCAAATGAAATACTATTAAACTTCAAGTATTCAAAGTGAAAGCCTACTACTAATTATTATTCCTACTCACCCGTTTGTCTAATGTTCTTTCTCTCACAAAGTTAAGTAAGTGATCGTTGACCAGAAGAATATCCTTTTTAGCAGCTGTAACTATAGACACGATAACATCATGTCTAATAGCTTCCTCAGGGTCATGTGACCTCACTTTAAGATACTCTGAAAGATAAAATTTTATTGATTAAAATGGAACTTTAACAATTAAAATATTTTTAAAAGTTGTATAAAACAACAAAAGCAAAACCTAAGTAGAGGGTTCAATGTTTCAAGAAAATTAAGACTAGTGGAGGGACGGGAGTAGAAATGAAGGTCAGTCCTTCAGTCAAAATAGAGTAGTTTACATGCAACCAAGTAGGGTTGAGCAGCAGGAGAACAGGGTAGTGTATTAAGGATTTCCTAACCTCATTAATTAAACCATATAAATGAAGTAAGAAGTATAATAACTTTAAATATCTCACTTGTTTTTTGCTTCAATGTTTAAAATATTTAAGTCAAATGGACCTACTAGGAAAAGGCTAGAGTATTCACGTTTCTATCCCTTAACTATGGAAAACCTAAGGTTTCTAAAAGAACAAAATTAAGATACCAGCCACCAAGAAACAGGATTATAGGAAATACCACAAGGCAAGTTCATCTGACTGAACTAAGAAAAGCCAAAAGGAACACAGAAGAAATTAAACATTTAACAATTAGGAGTGGCTGGAGGAAGATCTTAAAGCCAAAAACATTGCAGTTCAGATCTGGCACTGAGAAAGCTGAAAGAAAAAATTAACACTCTTCAGTAATGCTACATGAGGCTTAAGAAAGAGATACTACAACTGAGCAAAAAAACCCAAACATTATTCAGTTTTTTCTTATAAGACCAGTAAGCTAAAATTTCATTGCTTAGATTTGGAGTAATACACATAGCCATGGCTATACGCAGCAAATAGTGCTTATGACTATAAATGGCTTTACTTTCCTATAAATTGATAGTTTAGCAAATAATTACACTGCAAACACCTATAAAACCACTACCCTGGTCTTAAGCAATTTCACCTTAAGCATTCCCTAAAAGGAACTATTTCCAAAAATGAGAAAGACAATACATTGCTTAAAAATAAATAAATAAATAGATAGGTAAATAAATAAATAAATAAATAAATAAAGGGGCGCCCAGGTGATTAAGCATCCAACTTCGGCTCAGGTTGTGATCTTATGGTTCATGAGTTGGAGCCCCACATGGGGCCTGCTGCTGTCAGCTCAGAGCCCAATTCAGATCATCTGTCCCCCCTCTCTCTGCCCCTCCCCCGCTCACACTCTCTCTCAAAAATAAAAAAAGTGAACATTAAAAACAAAAATAAAAACTTCTGAAGAAACAGAAATGTTATTTACCTAACTCAATAAAAAAACTGCTTTTAGTATTGATTTCAAATGAAGTATGTAAAATAGATCAAGTTCACTTCCCCACCAAGATAAACACAGGAGTTTTAGCTTTCACAGTACTTGTTTCAAGGGCAACACATACCACTTTAGGTGTCACTAAAACAAAACCAATGACAACACCATCAATTTTAAGATGTGTCCCAATTTCCCTAAAACAAATTTTTCATATTAAGCAGGGTATATACAAGAGCTATTAAATTACAGATCTTAACTGTGCAGAGGAAGAGAACACAAAGGAGAAAGAAGAAATTCTCAGTTAGCACGACAAAGCAGCTGAGAATTTCTTCTTCACAATATGGCCATGTCCCTCAAAATGTAGCTGAAGGCACAAGGATGAATATCAAACACACTGCAAATAAAGATAAACGTGAGTGTCTAACATACATTAATCTTAGCTCACTCCTGAAACCCTATGAAAACATCTTTTAAAAGAGACAAGTACAAAAGATCACAGCAAAAGAGATTTTTCAACAAAATTGTGACAGATGTATGACTTCTAAACAAAAGAAAAAGTTGAAATCCAAAAAGGAAAGAGATTAATAAATAAGCTTATTTCCAGGGTAGAAGAACCGTGGAAACACTGAGAAATCCAAGGCACCAAGGAATGAGAAAGGCACAGATAAAGAATGCTGTGAAATGAGAAATGGTTGAAAATGTGCATAAAAAGTACTGAGACTCCTAGATTTTTTCAGAGCTGTCTTTTAGTCAACTACAAAAATTAAAATGTACAGTTTATAGTGATACTGGCCTATCTCAAGATGCAAGAAAAATCTAAAATAAACAAGCTAACCTTACATAAGAGCTAGAAAAACAACAAAACCCAAACCCAGCAAAAAGAAGGAAATAATATAAAGCAGAAATAAACAATAAAGAAACAAGAACAACAAAAATAGGACAGATCATATTAGCAAACTGAATCCAACCATGTATTAAAAAAATCATACCCCACAATTAAGTGGGATTTATTCTTGGGATACAAGGGTGGGTCAATATTCACAAAACAATCAACCTGATATGTCACATCAATAGGAAAAAGGATAAAAACCATATAATCATTTCAACAGATACAGAAAAAAAGCACTCAACAAAGTACAACATGCATTTATGATAAAAATCCTCCACAAAGTAGGTCTAGAAGGAACATACCACAATATGGTAAAGCCCTTATATGAAAAACCCACAGCCAACATCATACTCCATGGTAAAAACTGAGTTTTACCCCTAAAGTCAGGAACAAGACTAAGATGTCCACTTTCACTTTTATTCAATATAGTACTGAAAGTCCTTGCCAAAGCAATTAGACAACATAAAGAAATAAAAGGCATCCAAAAGGATAAGAGAAAAGTAAAACATTTACTATCTGAAGATACAATACTATACATAGAAAACTCTGAAGACTCTACCAAAAAACTACCAGAACTGATCAATGAATTCAGTAAAGACACAGGATACAAAATCATTGTACAGAAATCTAGTTGCATTACTGTACACTAATAATGAAGCAGCATAAAATGAAATAAGAAAACAATTGCATTTACAATTCCACCAAAAACAATAAATTATCTAGGAATAAACTTAACCAAAGAGATCAAAGACCCGTACTCTCAAAGCTATAAACACTGGGGCACCTTGGTGGCTCAGTCAACTGAACATGCATTTCTTGATTTAAGCTCAGGTCATGATCCCAGGGCCGTGGGATCAAGCCCCTTATCAGGCTCTGTGCTGAGTGTGAGGCCTGCCTGGGATTCTCTCTCTCCCCCTCTACTCCTCTCCCCCACTCACATGGGTGTGCGCTCTCTCTCATTCTCTCTAAAAAATTAAATAAATAAATAAATAAAACACTGATGAAAGAAATTCAGGACAACACATAAAAATGGAAAGACATTCCATGCTCATGGTTAAAAGAACTAATATTGTTAAAATGTCTATACTACCCAAAGAAATGTACAGATTTAATGCAATACCTATCAAAACATCAACAGCATTTTTCATAGAACTAGAATAAACAATCCTAAAATGTGCATGAAGCCACAAAAGACCTCAAATAGCCAAAGCAATCTTGAAAAATAAAAACAAAGCTGGAGGTATCATAATTCAGGATTTCAAGTTATATTACAAAGCAGTAGTAATTAAAACAGTATGGTATTGGCATAAAAATAAACATACAGATCAATGGAACAGAACAGAAAACCCAGAAATAAACCCACAATTATATGGTCAATTAATCTTCAACAAAGGAGGAATGAATATACAATAGAAAAATGTCTGTTCAACAAATGGTGCTGGGAAAACTGGACAGTACGTGCAAAAGAATGTATCTGGACTACTTTCTTTCACCATACACAAAAATAAACTCAAAATGGATTAAAGATCTAAATGTGAGACCTGAAACCATGTAAATCCTTGAAGAGAACACAGGTAGTAATTTCTCTGACATTGGCCGTAACAACAGTTTTCTAGATATGTCTCCTGAGGCAAGGGAAACAAAAGGAAACTATTGGGACTACATCAAAATTAAAAGCTTCTGTGCAGCAAAGAAAACCACCAACAAAACTAAAAGACAGCATATGGAATGGGAGAAGATATTGGCAAATGACATATGTGATAAAGGGTTAGTATCCAAAATACAGAAAGAACTGATATAACTCAACACTATAAAAAACAAACAATCCAATTAAATAATGGACAGGAAACATGAACAGACATTTCTCCAAAGAAGACAAACAAATGACCAACAGACACATGAAAAGATTCTCCTCATCACTGATCATTAGGGAAATGCAATTAAAACTACAATGAGAGATCATATCACACCTGTCAGAATGGCCAAAATGAACAAGAAACAACAAATGTTGGCAAGGATGTGGAGAAAGGTCAACACTCTGGCACTGTTGGTGGGAATGCAAACTGGTGTAGCCACTATGGAAAACAGTATGGAGTTTCCCCAAAAAATTAAAAATAGAACTACCCTACGACCCAGCAATTACACTACTGGGTACTTACCCAAAGAATACAAAAGCACTAATTCAAAGGGATACATGCAGCCCTATGTATACTGCAACGTTATTTACAATAGCCAAATTATGGAGAAAGCCCAAGTGTTCAGTGATAAATGAATGGATAAATAAGAGGTGGTATACAGATACATATACATAAACACACACACACACACACACACACACACACACACACAATGGAATATTATTCAGCCATAAGAAAGAATGAAATTTGCAACAACATGGATAAAGCTACAGAATAGAATGCTAAGTGAAATCAGTCAGAGAAAGACAAGTATTGTATGATCTCACCTACATGTGGCATTTAAGAAACAAATCAGCAAAGGGGGAAAAAAAAAAAAGAGACAAATCAAGAAACACACTCAACTATAGAGAACTGATGGTTACCAGAAGAGAGGTGGGTGGGGGGATGGGTGAAACAGGTGATGGGAATTTAAAAAAATAATTAAAATGCACCCAGAGTCTGAAAACTAGGAAATCATACAACACAGTAACATAAATGTTTTATTAAAAAATGAAACTACAAAAAAAAATGAAACCACATAGTATCTTTTGGTAAACTTTCAAACATTCAAACAATGGTGAAGACTAAAAAGGTTACTGGTGAAATTTTTCACATATAAAATATATTTTAAATAGCTATAAAAACTGAAAACATCTATTATTTAGCTAACAGTAAATTTTGCATTGAAATTCTGACTATGGGATGGGGCGTCT